ATCATCCCGAGTTTGCAGCGAATATTTTGTATGTGAAGGGCCAACAAAGCAAAATCCCAATCCCTCGCTCAACCTTGGTTACGAATTTAAAAAGTCAACACCAAAGCGAAAGGCACCAACTAAGAAACACCTTCCACTGCAAAGAGACCGAGACGTGATGTTGCTGTAAACACAGAAGAACAAGAAAGAAGAAAGGACAAGAAAGTGTGAGCTCAGCCTGTTTGTCTTCTGTATCTCTCGCTTAACAAACGGGATTTTGCGTTGTTGTCGCTCCACATACAAAATGTTCGCTGCAAACTCGGGATGATTTCTTAGGCAGCCAGCGGTTTCCTTTTTGGTCCTTCCTGTGGATCAATCCTGCCCATCGCCTTCGCCTTTCACTATTTTTCAATTCTGTTGGGAAGGGAAACAGTTTGAACAGAGGTTTGCAGTCACACACATCTGATTCCCTCTTGCAGTTATAGAGTTCGCAAACTTCCAAAGCCCATTTCTCAAGCCGTTTTCCACTGTTAGGACGTCCAACAACCACATAATTACGACGTCCAAATCTCATAACTAAAATATGACAAAATCAGAACCAGAAACAAAAGCGATATGGTTCAAAAGACTTGAAAAGAAAACAAACATGGCGGTTTGATGCTTCACTTTTTCGGAGGCCCCTTCCCAGTATGCATTGCACGATGAAGTCCGAAATTCGAGATGCACGTATTGTGCTGCAATAATGTGTAACGTGCCAATTGCCAATCTCTACTGAACTAAATGTAAAAGGTTGAGCTGGAACAGAGCGTTTTGAGCTTTGGAGATGTTGACAGACTAATAATAAAGCGTTACTCACATGAATTAATGAAACAAAACACAACTCCAAGTCTGTTTTTGATGAGGTAACAGCATTATAACCTGACTTAAAGCTCACAATTTCCAGTAGTATAGGCCCCTTAAAAACACACTGAACCAACTCCAACACCTCCTGTAGAAAACAACAGCAGGTGCAGACTTGTAGCTGGGAGACCATTGTTAATTTGACCAATTGGATCCAGTTTTCGGGGACAGGGACGGTGCGATTAAATCTAGTCAGGTCAGAATCTGGGGTGAAGGCAATTACTCGACAAAAATAGAGTGATGTTAGTGTAGGAGGAGGAGAGGAGGAGGAGAGGGACCACCATTGTAGCGATAGACTCCCCTTTTGTGTGCTCCCCGCTGTGGCGCTTCCTCTATCGCAGGTTTTATTTGGCTGTAAATGATCTGTGCTGTCATTAAAGAGAGAGGAGCTGAGAGCAGGTTTGGCAAGGTCACTGCACCAGCTCACGGACCAAGACTCAGGTTTGAAACGGTTTTAAAAGACATAAAATAATGCAAAATCAACTTATAAGAGCTATTAAAGGTCCTATGTTACACAAAATTAACTCTTGTGCGCTTTAAATCAGGTTAAAATGTCGTTAACTCCTCAAAAACAGACCTGGAGTTGTGTTTTGTTTCATTAAATCATTTGAGTAAGGCTTTATTATTAGTCTGTCAACATTTCTGAAGCTCAAAATGCTCATTCCCAGCTTGGATTGGTAATTCCAGGGCTGAAATGATCCAAACGATTCTAGTAAAGGTTTATAGAGTTTAAAAACACAGTGGAGCACTTCCTGTATGTGACAGTGTTTTCTGAGAACTCTGAGAATTTCAGTTTTCACCTCTTATCTTCGCCTACTGCCTTGTACAGTTATAAAAAAAAAAATAAAATAAAAATCAGAGTCCAGATCTCTATTGTTCAGAAATGCTGCATAACAACAGTTCAACAATAAAAATCCATACATGAAAATCTGTGACTTATTATTGTAAAATGCCACCTGTGTTTTTAAATTTGTTTTAGACGATATGGAACTTTACAGTGAACAAAATGTAAAATAATAATCCACGTGTGTTATAGTTTATACTAAATACAAAACATAAAGTATAATATGTCTCCATTAATGAAACCAGGTCTAAACCAGGACTAACTCAAGACTAAATAAAGACTAAATCAAGACCAGCTTGAAACTGAACCAGGACTAAACCAGGACTAAACCAGGACTAAACCAGGTCTAAACTAGGACTAAACTAGGTCTAAACTAGGTTTAAACCAGGGCTAAAACTGGTCTAAACTAGGACTAAACCAGATCTAAACCAGCTCTAAACCCAATATAAACCAGGACCAAACCAGGTCTAAACCAAGACTAAACCAGGTCTAAACAACAACAAACCCAGGTCTAAAACAGGACTAAACTAGGTCTAAACCAGGACTAAACCAGGACTAAACCAGGACTAAACTAGGACTAAACCAGATCTAAACCAGCTCTAAACCCAATATAAACCAGGATTAAATCAGGTCTAAACCAAGTCTAAACTAGGATTTAAACCAAGTCTAAACCAGGACTAAACCAGGTCTAAACAACAACAAACCCAGGTCTAAAACAGGACTAAACCAGGTCTAAACCAGGACTAAACCAGGTCTAAACCAGGACTAAACCAGGTCTAAACCAGGTATAAACTACGACAAACCCAGGTCTAAAGTAAGACTAAACCAGGTCTAAACTCAGTCTAAACAAGGGGAAAACCAGGTCTAAACAAAGAATAAAACAGGTCTAAACTAGGACTAAACCAGGTCTCAGACAAGATCCAACCCAGGTCTAAACCAGGTCTAAACTAGGTCTAAACTAGGACTAAGCCAGGCCTAAACCCAGTCCAAACCAGGTCTAAACTAGAACTAAAACAGGACTAAACCAAGACCGAACCAGATCTAAACCAGGTCTAAACCAGTCACACTGCCGACCAATGATGTTTATGTCGACAGCGGGATTCGAACCACCAACCTTCGGGACAGTGGACAAACGCCAGACAAATTTCCAAAACAGTTTTCTGCAGTTGAACAAACACTGCCCTGAATCTGCTAACGACTCTGCCACAGTCACTTCCTTTAAACCACAACTTTAACTCATCTAAACTCGCCCGATAATCAGCGGCATAACTCAATATCAGACGAGGGTTTGATGGACTCACTGATTCATTAAAACGGGATTAGGTGGACAGGTGCACTATGGGAAATCGGTATCTCGGCGCGGACAGGTAAAGATTTCACGTGGAGCGTTGGATTATGGGTAATGCACAAACAGCGGACATGAGCTAAACAAATGCCACCGTGATCCAGCTGCCTGTTACGTCCGCGCTCTTCTAAATCACAAACATCTGAGGTTGGTTCAACGTGGGTTTTTTTTTTGGTCAATATTGAAATTATGATTATGAAACCAAGATTTTTCTGTGCAGTTTTACTCCTGGTTTAGTCCTGGTCTAGTTCAGGTTTAGTCCCAGTTTTTTGTGATGTGGACAAGTGTGAACTCTGCCAAAATAATAAAGGACTAATACAGATTAAAGCAGCATGAATATGTGTCCAAGGAGGAAGAACTAAACCAGGACTAACTCAAGACGAAATAAAAACTAAACCACGACTAACGAAACCAGGTCTAAACCAGGTCTAAACCAGGAAAAAACTGGCCTAAACTAGGAATAAACTAGGTCTAAACCAGGACTAAACCAGGACTAACTCAAGACTAAATAAAGACTAAACCAAGACCATCCTGAAATTAAACCAGATCTAAAACAGCTCTAAACACGAACTAAACCAGGACTAACCCAGGTCTAAACCAGGATTAAACAAGGACTAACCCAAAATTAAAACCAGGTCTAAACCCAGGATTTACCCAGGTCTAAACTAGGACTAAATCAGGCCTAAACCAGGTCTAAACCAGGAGAAGCCAGGTCTAAACCAGGTCTAAACCAGGTCTAAACTAGGACTAAACCAGGTCTAAACCAGGTCTAAACTAGGACTAAGCCAGGTCTAAACTAGGACTAAACCAGGTCTAAACCAGGTCTAAACTAGGACTAAGCCAGGTCTAAACCAGGTCTAAACCAGGTCTAAACTAGGACTAAGCCAGGTCTAAACCAGGTCTAAACCAGAACTAAACCAGGACTAACCCAGGATTAAAACCAGGATTAAAACCAGGTCTAAACCAGGACTACCCCAAGTATAAACCAGGTCTAAACTAGGACTAAACCAGGCCTAAACCAGGATGAAGCCAGGTCTAAACCAGGTCTAAACCAGGTCTAAACCAGGTCTAAACCAGGTCTAAACTAGGACTAAGCCAGGTCTAAACCAGGTCTAAACTAAACCAGGACTAAGCCAGGTCTAAACCAGGACTAAACCAGGACTAAACCAGGACTAAAACCAGGATTAAACCAGGTCTAAACTGAGTCTAAACCAGGCCTAAACCAGGATGAAGCCAGATCTAAACCAGGTCTAAACCAGGTCTAAACTAGGACTAAACCAGGACTAAACCAGGACTAAACCAGGTCTAAACTAATTCTAAACTAGGACTAAACCAGGTCAAAATCAGGTCCAAACCAGGACTAACCTAAGTATAAACCAGGACTAAAAACAGGACTAAAACCAGGATTAAACCAGGTGTAAACTAGGACTAAACTAGGACTAAACTAGGTCTAAACTAGGACTAAACCAGATCTAAACCAGGACTAACCATGTCCCTTTCTAAACTACTTCCTTAGTCCCAGCCCTTGGCCGCACAGACCAGTCCATGTTTGTCTTAATGCTTCTTTTCTGTCTCACTTTTATTATCATATAAATGGGACACGTCATTGATGCATAGAAAACATTTTAGCATTAGTGTGTCTTGGAGTAGATGCATTTTAAAAACATGTTTCTATCAACTCTGGCTCTCAGTCTCAGTCTCGGTCTCAATATTTCAGAAAGCGCTCAGTGTTTTGCCCAAAGGCACTTTTATCAACGCGAGAAGCAGAGGCAGAAATTGAACTTGTCCTCTCTTTAAATGCACCAAAATGAGAAATATTCCTGGTTTCGAGCGTGAACCAGGTTTCAAAATAAAGCCAAAACGCCGTAGATTTACATTTTTTTCTAAGCCAAACACTCAAATACTCAGCGAAACACTAGATCCGACTCAGACCTCGTGATCTTGTCGGTGCAGGACATGGTGATGAGCTGCTCTCCCTGTAGAACCCCGTCCCAGGTCTGGACGGGTCCTCGGCTCCGCACTGGGACCGTCCCCTCTCCAGACTCCACCTTTGTCCTGAGGTGACTGCGCTGTTTCCTCACCAGGTGTCTGCTGCTGTGCACTGGCAAAAAACAAACAAAAAACAAACAAAAACAAACAAGAAAACATGCAGTTATTTCACACACATGGACCACTGTTTACAATCTAATAATAAAAACTAACTACACACTGACAACAAACAAGTGCTTCCTTTTATATTGTGTAATTTCGAAGACTTTTTCCAAGATTTTGTTAATTTGTTAATTGTTAATCACCACCCGAAATGAGTTTTTTTAACATTCTGAAAACAAAAAACCAAAACAAAACAAAAAGAGAAAGCGAAATTAAATTATAAATTGGCCAAAATATGATTGTAAAGGGGTGCGCTACCATGGTTACTTTTGTTTTTGTTCAATGAAATTTGTGTGTGTGTTTGGGGATGGAGAGTTTTGTTGTTTTGTGTTTTTGTGTCTTGTTTTTATGTTTATTATTGTATTTTGGTAAATGTTATATTCTATTGTCTTTAATTCAAATACAAAAAAAAAACAACAACAAAAAAACAAAAACAAAAAAAAAAAACAAGGGCTGCACAATGAAAAATTAAACAAACAACTGTAGAACTAAAAGTAGAACTAAAAATTCTACTTTAAAGTACACAAAGTACAGTAACCTTTCTTCCTTTGCCTGAAATGTTCCACAGTATGGCATTACCCTCCATGGAGTTTCAGGGCCCACTCACATTAAACTAGAACTAAACCAGATCTAAACCAGGACTAACTCAAGACTAAATGCAGACTAAACCAAGACCAACTTCAAACTAAATCAGGTCTAAACCAGGTCTAAACCAGGAGTAAACCAGGACTAAACCAGATCTAAACCAGGTCTAAACAAGGTCTAACCCAGGTCTAATTCAGGTCTAACCCAGGTCTAACTCAGGTCTAACTCAGGTCTAACTCAGGTCTAAACCAGGACTAACTCAAGACTAAATGCAGACTAAACCAAGACCAACTTCAAACTAAATCAGGTCTAAACCAGGTCTAAGCCAGGACTAAACCAGATCTAAACCAGGTCTAACCAAGGTCTAACCCAGGTCTAACTCAGGTCTAACCCAGGTCTAACCCAGGTCTAACCCAGGTCTAACTCAGGTCTAACTCAGGTCTAACCCAGGTCTAACCCAGGTCTAACTCAGGTCTAGGTCTAACCCAGGTCTAACCCAGGTCTAACTCAGGTCTAACTCAGGTCTAACTCAGGTCTAACCAGGTCTAACCCAGGTCTAACCCAGGTCTAACTCAGGTCTAACTCAGGTCTAACTCAGGTCTAACCCAGGTCTAACCCAGGTCTAACTCAGGTCTAACCCAGGTCTAACCAGGTCTAACTCAGGTCTAACTCAGGTCTAACCCTAACCCAGGTCTAACTCAGGTCTAACCCAGGTCTAACCCAGGTCTAACTCAGGTCTAAAGGTCCAGGTCTAACCCAGGTCTAACCAGGTCTAGGTCTAACTCAGGTCTAACCGAGGTCTAACCAAGGTCTAACTCAGGTCTAACTCAGGTCTAACCCAGGTCTAACCCAGGTCTAACTCAGGTCTAACCCAGGTCTAACCCAGGTCTAACCCAGGTCTAGGTCTAACCCAGGTCTAACTCAGGTCTAACTCAGGTCTAAACCAGGACTAAACCAGGACTAAACCAGGACCAAACAAAGACCAAACCAGATCTAAACCAGGACTAACCCAGGTCTAAACCAAGTTTAAACCATGTCTAAACTAGGACTAATCCAGATCTAAACCAGGTCTATAAGGAAGGATTAAAGGAGGACTAGAATAGGACTAAACCAGGTTTGCCTGAAATGTTCCACAGTATGGCATTACCCTCCATGGAGTTTCAGGGCCCACGCACAGTAAGAGTGCAGGTTTTTCTTAGCAATTAAAAAAAACAAACAAACAAACAAACACCTGTACTGGAATAAACTCAAGATATTATTTAATGCTGTACTGTTGAATATTCTAGGTAAAGTGACACTGGCCATGTTTACATGAGGTTTTTTAATTCCAAATTAATTGCTCTGAATTAAAATATTCTCCTTCGAGTTTACATGGAAATAATAATTCTGAATTGAGGTTTACATGGAAAACATGTTAAGTCGTCTTTATTTAATTCCGCTCAACGTTCGGGGGTGGGGAAGGTTCTGATTGGACAGAGACACGAACGTATTTACGTCGACCGGAAGAAAACACACACTTCAGCTGCTACTATCGAGAATCCTCTCATCACGCTTTACATCTGTCGGCTGAGGAGGAGAAGGGAAGAGTTTTCGGAGAAGGAGGAAGAAGACAAACTGAGTCAACGGCTGCTCTACCTCAGTCCACTCCCACATCCCGCTCACAAATCCAAAGAGACGTGGATGAAAGTCCGAAGCCAGGACTGGTGGAGCCGGATCGTCGGAATCACGTCAGAAGGGCGACACAACGAGCATGTACTGAACGACCGGAAGTATTTTTAAGAAGAATAAACGTTTACTAGTCTGATTCATCAGCCGGTGTCACTTCGTAGAAACTGTCTGACCTCGCAGCCTTAGATTTCGTTCGTTCGACGGTAGGCAGGTACTTTTATCATTTAACCAATCGCTGCTATTTGGTCGTCATGTATGTAATGCGCTGCTAACTGGACTAACTGGTATATGAAGCTTTTCCCAAATCCCTAAGCGAAGAAGAGCAATAACGTCTTTCGCCTTGATAAAATTCACCAAACATTCTCTTTGTTCCGGCTTTAAATCCTCGATCTCGGGAAGCATTGCCAACACTGAATATACGTCTCTTCGCTGATTGGCTGGTGCTCGAACTCGCACTTCCGGGATTTTTGCGAACCATCTTGTGTCTTCTGATTCCTGACCTAGTCGCTGGAGAGAAATTAAATTGAGCAGAGACACTAGGTGACGCCAGCCTGGCTAAACGTTTACATGATTGAGGAATAAATGAATTCGGCTTTAAAATCAGAATAAACCACCCACTTACGTCAGAATTACGTTAAATTCCGAATAACCATTTTCATTAGGAGTTAAGTGTTTACATGGTCTTTTAAAAGCAGAATTTATTTTTATTCAGACTTAAATTCTTTTTATTCGGAATTAAAGCTCTCATGTAAACGTGGCAAATATGGTTCTGTAAACTGAGTGATAAAAAGAGGAGCCACGCCCAATTTTTACTTTACGGTTTTCATCCAATTAAATGCTTTTTAATAACACGTACAGGCGATATCGTTCATTTTATTCGTTTTTACATACAGATGCTTTTACAAAACACAGCAGGTGCATTTTCCTGAATAAGGGGGATAAAAATCAGCTACTTTTTCGTTTTTATTGTGATCTGGGTTAGGGTCAACTTAACTTGAAATTCTGACATGATAATTGCATTAAAAACAGAACCAGAAGGACCCAAAAAATCCAAATAACATTTAAAAGTGACTAATAATACTTTCTTTCTCGTTTTAAGATTCAGATTAGCTCGAGTTTCCATCCTGGCGTCATGGCAACCTTTTCTGTGCCCAAATACTTATCTGTGGGCGGTTTATGTCTATTTTTAACACTTGACTCACAAACAGCACGTTTTATAACAGAATTAATCTCGAGACTCAGTTTTATTTCTTATTTCGCTAATAATCCGCGTATTTAAACCCGCCGTGTTTTTAACTCTAACCGCTGACGAGAAAAGGGAACATTTTTGCATCATAAATAAAACAACGGATTATAAATATTGTCAGATTTTGTTACGAAATGTTTCTTAATGTGTAATTTAAATGGAATTAGTTTTGGTCTTCAGATTGTGACAGGCACAGAGAATTAAACCTCTGCTCTGACTTTGCTGTTATCTTTTATTTTTTATTTTTGTACATTTTAAAGATCCCATATAACACAAAGTTGACTCTTGTGAGCTTTAAGTCGTGTTATAATATTGTTATCTCTTAAAAAACAGACCTGGAGTTGTGTTTTGTTTCATTCACACGTTTGAGTTGAGTCTTTATTTTTTATTTATGTCTGTTTACGTCTCCAAATGCTCAGGTCTACCTTGTGATGTCATGAAGTGGTGCACAGCAAATTTCTCTGATCTGGCCAAGATTTTAAGACTTCTATCAGGTCATTCATCTTGTTTTCAGATTTATTATCAACTTATGAGTTCAGAGATGCTTAATTCTAGTCTAGAGGTGGTTTAGTTGGCGCCACCTAGTGCCTCCGCTCAATTTTATTTCTATCCAGCGACGATGTCAGGGATCAGAACACACGAGACCAGGGGTGTCAAACTCATTTTGGTCCGGGGGCCGTATCCAACCTACTTTGATCCCAAAGGGGCCAGATCAGAAAACTCATGTCATATATATGTTAAAAATAACAATAAGTTCAAATATTTGTGCAGAGAAACACAAATCTATTACAGAAATCTTTTTTAATTGATGAACTCTTTCTTATTATAATATTATAATATTATGAACAATCTGAAACTTTAAGAAAAATTCAATTTCAACACAATGTTTTAACATGAACTTGTTTGCAAACAGGAATAAGTCAGTTTTTGTTGTAAAATCCTGCACTCGGCTCCACTTTTCTCATGTTGGACATTTTGTTGATGAGGGTGTCACGGTCAACAGTCAAAACGATCGTCCTTTAAGAGCGTTTGGAAAGAGACAAGTCTTCATTTGTGCTGCTCTGGTGGGAGGGGCCACGTACAGAGACGCTGGAGACGCTGCTGTGATAAACACCACAGAAAATTACCAATATTTTAATAGAAAATATAATTAAAATATTTTAGTAGAAAATCACCCAAGGGCCACATTAAAGGTCTTGGGGGGCCGGATCTGGCCCCTGGGCCTTATGTTTGACACCTGTGCACTAGACGGTTTACAAGGACTCCGGAAGTTGTAGACTGCGCACTGGCCAATCTGCGATGAGCTGAACCAACCCGAGTTACGATAGCAGACTCCTTTGGACTTCCTTTGTCAAATACAAACTTCGCATTTTTTATTGAACTTTTAATTTGCAACTTCATCTCGCAGAAACGACAATGACCGTTGATAAACATGTTCACTCTCTGCTTTGTTTGCTTTTGTACCGGAAATTACACGACACCACTGAGCGTTCCAGCGCATTACATACGTCACGACCAAATAGCAGCGATTGGTTAAATAAAAAAAGTCCCCGCTTACTGTCGACCGAACAAATCCTAATGCTGCGAGGTCAGACGGTTTCCATGAAGTGAAACCGACTGATGAATCAGACTTGTGTGAATGTGGCAGACGATCTTCAGAGGAAACACTTTGAGAGAATGAACACGAGGGACTGTTGGATTGTGTGAAATGAACTGTTTGTTTTTCTCGTATCCATGGAGATTGTGCAAGAAACTAACTAAAGAGCGAGACATGCACATTTGAGATGCTGCAGGCTTTTTTACACCATACGTAGCAGGAAATGTGGCAGTAAACCTTCCAGAAGAAACACATTTTAGCACCAACTGAAACTCCAGAGCAAAGTGAGAATGATCCTGTTGTGTTCACCTGGCGCCCCCTGGAGGCTACTGTGATGCACTTTTGGCTCTTCCTCTCCTCAAACTGCCCGGACACAGATCTGCTGACCCTCCCTGACCAGTCCTCCTGTTCAACTGAGCTGAGACCTTTGACTGAGACACAAAAGCCACACGACGACAACAGTCTGCTGCAGCAAAACTTGAATGGAGTTATGATTTGCAGGGCGGAGCGTGCAGACAGAGTGACCTCTCGCTCTCTCCCAGTCGTCTTCTGCACATGGGACAGAGAGAAACGTAATTTTGATTCCTTTTTATGTCTACTACAGGTGAAGAAATTAACAATAAAGTGAACTTTGAACTTTATTTTAAGATAACTTGTCAAATAAAATGATATTGCTGCATGGACAGATAATTTCACTACTTTTAAGTAATTTTCTGATCAAATTAAGTGTTTAAATATCTTACATTCTGGTCAAGCTTTTTTATGCAGTGGAAGTTTTCAAGTTGACAGCTACACTTTGACTTTTAGTTTAGTATACAACAAAAACTGTAAGGTTAAAAGATCAGGGTGAAATATTTCAGTTGTTGAGAGAGGGAAAGAAGAGGAGAGGGATGGAGAGAGAGAGAGGAGGAGAGAGTGAGGGTGATGGGAGAGAAAGAGCAGAGAGAAGGAGGAAGAAATGATGAAGGAAGAGAGCAAGAAGGAGAGAGGCAATGAGGGGAGGTGGTGGGGGAGACAGAACAGAGATTGAGGGATGAGAAGGAGCGAGGGAAAGGAAGAGAGGGAGAGACAGAGCTGATGGAGAGAGAAGAGAAGGGGGGATAGAGAGGAAACGATAGAAAGAGCGATGGAGTGAGCGAGAGGGGAACAAGAAGGAAAAATAGAGGAAGGGAAAGAGAGGGAGAAAGAGACAGAAGGAGGGAGAGCGGGAGAGAGAGGGTGATGGGGAAAAAGAGCAGAAAGAGGGAGGGAGAGAGAAAGGGATGAGGAGAGGAGAAAGGAGAGAGGCTAAACAATAAATTATGATTCAGTCAGAAGCGAGTGGAGGAGAGGAGGAAGAGGGGACGAAGGGAGAGAGGGAAGGATAAGGAGAGAGGGAAGGGACGTGGAGAGCGAGGAGAGGAGAGGAATGAAAGAGGGTGTGTGAGAGAAAGAGGGAGAGAGGACACAGAGATGGGGAGGGAGAAAGAGAGGGAAAGAGAGAGAAAAAGAGAGAGAAAGAGCGAGGGATGGAGTTGTTGTTGGAGGAGACAGAGGAGAGGCAGAATTCTCCTTGTGAGTGGTTAATGTACAGACTCAGTGTTGTAACAGGATGTGACATTTGTGAATAAAAACTCGTAGACGAAGAGGTCACCGCAAAAACAAGATGGACGCTCACAAATCTGCTCCTCTGTGTTTGGAAAAATGGAAAATAAGATACAAACTCAAATGTTAAAATGTTACTCCTTGTTTTGTATTTCTTTTCTTATTTTGCATACACATTTACAGATCATTTTGTGTTGGTTTGTGGATTTTTGAGCACATACATTTAGTGTCTTGGATCTCAACTTCCTGTTTATATTTGACGTTTTGTTGTTGATACAGAAACATAGTTATAGACGTTTTTCACAACAGTCGGAAGTGTCCCGCTGTAGGTTTGCAGAACTTCTAGTTAAAGGTTTTCTGTGGCAGAATGTCTCTGGAAATGTCTCGTGTGTTCTCCACCAGCTTCGTAAATCTGCCCCATCAACAAATCTTCATCCAACAAGGTTCACAAAAGATAAACATTCAATCATGAAGAATTTATCCACAACGATCAAGGTAAGAAAGATGAAAACGTAAAGGCGAACAACGACGACGCGTTAGTGAACTACTGAGCAAAACACAAGTTATGTTATTAAGTTAAGTTAAGTTATTTAACCAATCGCTGCTATTTGGTCGGGTTTGGTTTGTGTTTTTTTGAGCTTTCAGACAATTTTAAAGGTGCATTGTGTAACTTTTCTGGTACAGAGTCCGCCACCTGCTTGTCGCCATGGAGATATCACTGTTTTGCCTCGATTATTCCACAGAATGGAAATAAACTCGGTAATCACACTGGAGACAGGTTAATGGTCAGATCTATGGAGAAGCAAGCCTGCACATGGTACGAATTCATGTTTTTTACGGTATTTTTGAGCTATAGGCGAGTTTCAGCTGACGTCATTGTTATTAAAAGCCCGTGTTGCTGCTGGGAAATATTTTGGTCAGAGGCAAGAAACACGGTAGCGTCAAACACAGTGCGTAACCTCGCGTATTTATCCCCGATCATGGTAAATTCCTGCTGCATTATCGGATGCACAAATAGAAGCACGAAAGAAGGAAAATGTCTTTTTCGTACTTCGTGAAAAGAACCACTAATGGTGAATTAAACGACTTTCAAACATCCGCAGAGCAAACGTAGAAGATCCTAACAAACCGTGGACTCCAACAAGTTCAACAACACATCGAGACTCTTGGAGGTTTTCATCTTTTCTGCTGTGAATGGCCCAGGAGTTTCCACCAAGTCATTGTGGATATCGCCAAAGTGAATATTTGTCCAGGTAGTTGGAGATTCTGACCAGAAATTTGGTTTGTTCCACCTTTTGTCGGGGTTGAAAAGGGTGATTTGCGTCCGTCGATGCTTATGACCAATTTCTGGTCAGATCGTCTTGGGTCCTCTGCCGTTAGAGTGGATAAATAACCGGGATCAATACCCTTTACGTGTTTTCTCGCTCCGTCCGTCATGTTGAATTCGTGTTTCTTGCCGCCGACCAAAATAATTCCCAGCATGCAATGCGCGCTTTTGTCAACAATGAAACTCGCCTATAAAACACCTGAACAAATGTGAGGAAGATATGGTTAATGCCCTACTACGGAACATTCCTGACAAGCAAGCAGCAAGCAATTTTTTTGTTGTAAATTGCTTACTTGCCCAAAAAATAAACACATAAACAAAAAAAAATAAAAAATAGCGCACCTTTAAAACTTTTTCTGTTAGTGCTGTCGTGTGCATTGTGTCACCATGGTAACTCCTGAACGTTCCACCACAGACATACGTGTAGAACACCCCCAGCGAAGTGTAAACTCATAAACTGTGGCGTGTGCTTACGGTCGTGTGAGATCTCGTAGGGAGAGTTGACCCTGGCGTCTCCGCAGGGCGACGTGCTGATGAACAGGTGAAAGTGGACGCCCTCCTTTAACCTGAAGCTCCGCTCTTTGTGTCGCACGAAGATGGACTCCTCCCACTCCTCCACGCGTTTACTGTAAAAACAAACGGATAAAAGCACGGAAAACACAAGTCACTCCTCCGCACGCTTACTGTAACGAATAAAAACTTAACATAAAAACAAAATACTAGAGCACTAACACTCAAAGGTTTGGACACAGCATCTCAATCTCTCTCTCTCTTCTTCCTCTTTCTCTCTGTTTCTCTCCCTCACTCTTGCCTCCATTTCTTCTCTTCACACACTCCCTCTCCTCCACCCTTCAGCTCTCCTCCTTTCTCTCTCTCGTTCTTTCTCCACTCTCTTCCATCCTTCTTTCACCTGCCTGCTCCCGTCTCTCTCTCTCTCTCTCTTGCCTCCTCTCTCTCCTTCTCCCTCTCTCCACCCTTCAGTTCTCCTCCTCTGTCTCACTTCTCTCTCTCTCTCTCTCTCTCTCTCTCTCTCTCTCACTTCTCTCTCTCTCTCTCTCTCTCTCTCTCTCTCTCTCTCTCTCATCTCACCCTCACCCTCCTGCTCCCTTCTCTCTGCTCCCACTTTCTCCTCTCTCTCTCCAGCCCCATCTCTTTCCTACTTTCTATCTGTGCCCATTCCCCTCTCGCTTTCTCCTCCTCTTCACTTTCTCCTCCTCCCCTTTCTCTCTCTCTCTGTCTACTGCTCCCTCTGTCCTCCTCTCTTCTCTCTCTCTCCTCGCCCACCCCCTCTCCTCCTTCCTCTGTCTTCCTCTCTTGCTAATCTCTCTCCCTTCTCTTTTCCCCTCTCTTCTCCTCTCTCTCTTCTCCTCCCTCTCCTGTCCTCTCTTCTGCTCCTTCTCCTCCTTCCCTGCATCCTCCTCCCCTCTCTCTCACTTCTCTCCCCCCTCCACTCCCCTCTCTCTCTTTCTCCTCTTTCTCCCTTTCTCGCTAAGACTCTTCTCACCTCTCTCTCCTCTCTTCGCTCTCTCTCCCTCCTTCTATCTTCTCCTCTTCTCCTCTCCTTCCCTCTCTCCTGCCCCTTCTCCTCCTCTCTCTCCCCTCTCTTCTCTCGCTCCCTTCCTCCTCTCTCACAAACTCTTCTCCTCTCCCCTTCTCCTCCCACCCTCTCTTCCCCTCTATCCCTCCCCCTCTGCCCCCCCTCTCTCTCACTTCTCTCCCCCTCCACTCCCCTCTCTCTCTTTCTCCTCTTTCTCCCTTCTTCGCTAAGACCTCTCTCACCTCCTCTCTCTCTTCTTCTTCGCTCTCTCTCCCTCCTTCCCCTATCTTCTCCTCTTCTCCCTCTCTCCTACCCCTTCTCCTCCTCTCCTCCCCGTCTCTTCTCTCGCTCCCTTCCTCCTCTCTCACAAACTCTTATCCTCTCCCCTTCTCCTCCCACCCTCTCTTCCCCTCTATCCCTCCTTCCTCTGCCCCCCCTCCTCTCTCTCTTCAACTCCATCTTCTCCCTCTCTCTTTCCCTTTTCTCTCCTCTTCTCTTTTTCCTTTCCTCCTCTCTCTCTTCATCTTTCTTTTCTTTCTCTCCCTTTTCTCTCCTCCTTTCTAATTTCCCTCTTTCCCTCCTCTCCTCTCTCTCTCTCTCCTCCCCCTCTCTCACTCACTCCTCTCCTCTCCCTTCCTCCTCCTCCTCCCTCCCTCTCTCCTCCCTCCTCTCTTTCTCCCTTATTCTCTAGGATCTCTTTCACATTCTCTCTCCCTCTCTCCTCTCTCTCTTCTACTCTAAGACCTCTTTCTCCTCCCTCCCTCTCTCTCTCTCCTCTCCTCTCTCTCCTCTCTCTTCTCTCTCTCCTCTCCTCCTCCCTCTCTCCCGTCGTCCATCTCCTCGGTGTAAATGTGGCGTATGTGACATTTTGTTTGGTCATTTCACATTATTTACTCTTTATCTCTCCCATTAGCTGCAGTGTGCTCTGTACCTGCCACAAGACAAACCCTCCCTCGCTCTTATGCTAATCTGACATTCAGCCCTCCGCTCCCGGGGCCCCGCAATCTGATGAATCGGCCCCTAATATTCTAATGCATGCCCCAATACTGCAGGGGAATCGCACTCGCAACCTGCCTGGACAAACCAACAGGAAGGGCACGCTGACATATGCTGCCAAATGGACTCCCGCGTTAAAGATATTTATGATTTAGAGAAGGAATATTCAACTTTTCTTATTTGTTATGATGTTATTTCCTCCTCAAAAACAAATCTGGAGTTGTGTTTTGTTTCATTCACACGTGTTTGAGTCATTCTGGTTTATTAACGGTGTAGTTTTTAAGTTAAGTCAGTAGAGATTTGCAATTCCAGGTCTGAAATGATCCAAATGATTCTAGTGAAGGTGTGTGGAGTTTAAAAACACGGTGGAGCACTTCCTGTATTGCCACATGACATCACAAGGTGGAACAGAGTGTTTTCAGTTTGAGAGAAGAACTCTTATGCCTAAACATGCAGGATTTGTGTTTTAAACATGTGTGAATGAAACAAAACACAACTCCAGGTTTGTTTTTGAAGAGGAAACAACATTATAACAGATCAGAAAATGGAGTAATATGAGCCCTTTAAAGGTGCATTGTGTAACTTTTCTGGAAGAGGGTATATGCTCAGAGGTGTAGTGGGTGTGGTATGCAGGGGTAAGCCGTCCACTCACTTCTCCCAAGATATAAAAAAAATAACAAATATAAAATAGTTACAACTTAAATGTCAAACTGGAGCTACTGGCAAAGGTGAAAACAACCTGCATAGACTCATGAGGGGACCAGGACTGATCCCAGGACTAAACCAGGACTAAAACAGGACTGATCCCAGGACAAAAACAACACTGAACCAGGACTGAACCAGGACTAAAACAGGATTAAAAAAATAATAAAACTGGTCTAAACCAGGACTAAACCGGGACTAAACCAGAACTGACTGCCTGAATGCACGGAGGTGCAGCTGCATAGACCGTCAGGTGACCGCAGTGAAAGGATCGCGACAGAGTCCAAGATTAGTCCTGGTTTAGACCTGGTGTAGCCCACACTTTAAAAATCCCCACATACTTTGTCTCCATGGAGTTGTTTTGTCAAATGTTCAACAATATGGTATTAGTCTAATGTTATGTATCCATGGAAACAAACAGGTGACGCCAGTAGGCAAAATTACAGGTCAGATCTGCAGAGAGGAGAGCCAGTGCATTCTTTTTACTCAATATTTTGGCACAACAAACACCTTAATTCTACATGTACATTTTGCAATACGCAACTTTTCTGGAAGCACAACAAGTGCTTTTGTCCATGGATCTATAATAATAATAATGACACATTCTATTGAATGTCAGTAACAGATAAATCCAAGTCAGTTCTCTTGACATTTGTTGTAAATGTGTTACATTGCAACAGTTGGGGAAAATATGGATGCCTGAGAAAGTTTAATGTTTATTTTGTTAGCTTATGTAGTTAAAGTGAAGTATTGCTAGTTCCTGTCTGTTAGCTTTGATGATTACATGTTCAGAAATTCATCCGACTCAGTCTGCTCTGAACTACCCAAGGTCGGTCTTCCCTGAGTCCTGAGCACACTAGAACTAGAACAGCATAAGAACTGGATAAGACAAGCCTCCTGGCTCTAGATCGTCTAGTGGCTGCTCCAGGTACTACAGCTCCCGGGACCTCCAGCCCTGAAAGAATGCATTGTTTTCTGAACTCAAACTGCCTGTGATTGAGTGAGAGGGCATCGACAACTGTCATAAGGGTTAGGGTAGGGATTCTTCTGTATTCCTAGAATATGAACTTCCTCGCTCTGAGCTTGCGGTGGCGTCGTTCTAGCAGCTCTCGCTCTGATTGGTCAGAACTGCATATTTCCGACATCACACATTTTGCGGCGTAGGGCCAGTATTCAGGAAGTAACGCGCAAGTAAGAATCTTTTTTTGGCTCATGCGCCAATGAGCACCGGCCACTGAAAACAATACGACGCCATCTTGGGTTCATCTTCCGGATTTTATTATAGTTCTATGTTTTAAACCATTTATTTTGCATTTACTCAATTACATCTGTTTTATGGCTCAAATAATACACACCGCACCTGTGAGCGAGATCGCCTCTCCACAGAGCCAACCTGTAACTTGATCTTGTAGCGTCACCCACCCACCTTTATCACATTATATATATATACGTTTAATGCCATACTGTGGAACATTCCGGGTGTAGCAATAACATCACCATGAACACAAGCAGCAACCCCCGACAGACAGACCCTCCTCCAAAAATGTTACATAGTGAAGCTTTAAATGACTGGAGAATAAGTGTAACATGACATTAAAGTAATAACTACCTCAGGAGAAGTTGTGTGCACTACTTTATATTTGACTTCTATTCAAGAAATGGAGTTTTAAATACACTTTTAAATAAATTATAGTTTAAAGGTGCCAATCAGCGCTGTGCCTTGTGTTGCCGTGACAGTACACATACATTAAATTGTGTTTCCGAGGCTTTAAATGTTGTCGCTGTCACTTCCCACTGTTTGTCTCATAACCAGCGCCATGGAAACAGCTACTTTATTTTCAGAGATTTTTCAGTAATGTTTGAGCCATATGTTCTGTCAGCTCGCTCCACTCTGCTCCACTCTCCACGTCTGTCTGAGATTTCAACAACAGCCCGTGTTTAAGGATCGCACTCCCAGCGACGATCAGCTGGAAAAGTTAAGTTTGAAAAGGGATTATAATGTGCATTTTGAGGAGTTTTTATCGATGTTGTAAACCATCTTCTTCGGATTTCTTTAGTACGACTCATAATAATTTATTTAGCCTTAAGGTCGCCAAACACTACAGGAGGATTTGTCCCGATTTTGGCTGCGAATTTGTTTCTCCTTGACCCGATTTTTTGTGTTTGTGCGCGATTTTGAAGCTGTCAGTGTGACTCTGAGCTGCTCTGTCAGATCAGAACCACCAAACATCAGCAACGCTACGGAAACAGCCGATAAAACAGAGCGTCAGAGGCAGAGGAGTCACGGACACTGAGACGCAACATTCCAACTAAGGAAATAGCGAAAGTAATTAAATAATAAATTTAAACCGCAGCATCTCATCCACATTATCCATAGAATTTGTCCTCCGCAAATAATGACATCCAGACCACAAAACTGCTCTGTTAATCCAGTTTGAGTCGTTCTTTAAAAGTAAAAAGGCCGGAGTAGTTCCTCACGTGTGTTTGTTTACATCCACACAGCGCACGGATCGAGGTGAAGCTGCAGATTAACGACCGTGACTCAACTTCCTGAGTACTTTATTGCTTCTTTTCTGCTTCAAAAATCATGTATCTGAAGTTTTGCACCACATTTCACAAATAATAATAACAGTTTACTTGTATATAAACTAGAAGTGCAGTGCTCAGATCTTTTGAACACTTAAGAGTCTCAAAGCGGAGTCGTTTCATCTATCGTAACTTTTAGACTTGTGCTTCGTTCCAGTTTATATGCAGAGTCAATGTGGACGTATGTCTACATGCACCTAGGGTCAACGCGACACGTCTTGAGCATCTTCTCTAGGGCGTCGGCATCAGAAGTTGAAAATGCAAAACTTTTCGCGTCAAATGTGCCGCGTCAACCAATCAGGGACGAGTATCCAATGACGTAACGATTTTATTATGCGAAAGACCTGAGAACCGAGAAGTATAAATATATACACTGCAAACACAGAGCTGATTACCAGGACTAAACCAGGACTAAACCAGGACTAAACCAGGACTAGAACCAGGACTAGACCAGGACTAAACCAGGACTAGACCAGGACTAAACCAGGACTAGACCAGGACTAAACCAGGACTAAACCAGGACTAAACCAGGACTAGACCAGGACTAAACCAGGACTATACCAGGACTAAACCAGGACTAGACCAGGACTAGACCAGGACTAGACCAGGACTAGACCAGGACTAAACCAGGACTAGACCAGGACTACACCAGGAGTAGACCAGGAGTAGTCCAGGACTGGACCAGGAGTAGACCAGGAGTAGTCCAGGACTGGACCAGGACTAGACCAAGACTAGACTAGGACTGATCCAGTGTCATTAGCAGGGTATACATATATACACCACAATCACTGAGAGGATCATAAAGACTACACCAGAACCGGGCCAGGACTAGACCAGGACTAGACCAGGACTGAACCAGGACTAGACCAGGACTAGACCAGGACTGAACCAGGACTGGACCAGGACTAGACCAGGACTAGACCAGGACTAGACCAGGACTAGACCAGGACTGGACCAGGACTGATCCAGTGTCATTAGTGGAGTATATATATATATATATATATACGCTGCAGTCGCTGAGCTGATCTCTTCTGCTGTTGGTTTTATATAATAAAAACACTAAAGTCTCTCTCAGCCTGATCTGCCACTGCTTCTGGAAAAGACCGGGACTGGGCACTTGTTTCCAGGGCAACGGAAGCATCCATGGCGTCTAAACTCCAATGCAAAGGCGTCCAAATAGAGGCGTCTAGGTTTTTTTTTTTTGACGTCTGAACGCACCATGAGACTCGCTATGGCACGTAAATATACTCCATTTCTTATGAACGCTAAAACTAGTATCTCTCTGTCATTTTAGTTTTGTTAAGGTAGAAAAAAGTTTGCAGACCTCTGCTTTCCACAGACTTTCCACAGACTTTGTGTGTTGCCAGTACCTGAGGAAGAGCTCTAGTTGTGCGTAGAGAAACCTGATGAGAGCCCTGCGCACCGTCACCTCGGCGTGGCAGTCATTCACCACCTGGCCCTGGTCGCTCAGATACTCCCCACTGATGCATTTAGTGCCGCTCGACAGCGCCACCACCTGGGCGCGCCGCAGGTCCAAGTCTGCACACACACACAAGAGAAACGGCTAATAATTTCACTTTTATTGGAAATTATAACACGGTTTGTCAAAGTTTTATGTTTTCGCCATTCAGTGTTTTGGCGTCTTGATTCAAATTGTAAACTTAAAAATGTACTATACCATTTCTCTGATTGTTTCCATGGCGATGTCATTGCTTTGTCTGGAATGTCCCAAACTATGGCATTACACCTCTCTACCTTACATTCATTCAGTAGGTTGTGTTTTTGTATTCTTTGTGTCTATTTGGTTTGCGTCTCCACAGATCTGCCCTGTAACCACCTACTTGTCTCCTTGTGTATCGACAGGTTTATGCGGAACATTCCGGACACAAAAATAACATCTCCATGGAGACAAACAGGTCGCAAAACCTCCACCAAAAAGTTCCATTGTGCATCTTTAACATACACTGGAAACAAACAATATCTAGGTAAATTAAAATGACTTAAATTAAGAATATTTTACTTTATTTGACAAGTAAAATTATCTGCCAATTTAATTCAAGCAACATTTGATTTTGTTTCTTATTTTAAATGCAAAAAGTTGCTTATGTTAAGTGTAGTAAGATGTAATTTCATATTTTAAGTGCAAAAAGTCTTATTCCACTGACAAATAATTTTATTTGTCAAGTGAAATTATACTCAAATCATAATAAGACTTTCTTAATTCAAGTCATCTTAACTTGACTAGATTTTTTATTTTTATTTTTTTGCAGTGTATGTGTTTGAGGCTCAACACTGCAAAAAACAAAAATCTGGCCAAGATAAAGTTACTTTAATTAAGAAAGTTTAATCATGATTTGAATCAGTTTCACTTGACGAGTAACAAGACTTTTAGTACTTAAAATATGAAAATACATCTTGCTACATTTAAAATAAGAAAAACAACAACTTTTTGCGCTTAAAATGAGAAACAAAATCTAATGTTGCTTGAATCTGAAAGAAAAACACACTTATTCCATTGGTAGATAATAGGAGTGTAATGATATTGGCAATATCACAATATCGTCGTAGTAAAATTGCCACGATGGTCTTGGTCTTGTCATGGTATTAATCGAATAGTTTGTGAGTGATTTGCTGGATGCAAGTTACTCACAAACTCACACACGGTGGACGGCGTTGGGTTTAAAGGTTAGGGGCTAAATTGGAGTCGAAAAATGAGCTCTGTCCTTCTCCCCTCAAATGTTGACATGTTAACCTTTCTTTAAAATAAATAAATAAATAAATAAATAAAACTGAATTAATAAGGTTAGACTAAGCTTGTTAACTGCAGCTTACCAATACTTTCTATTTTTTTCCTGTTTGGTGGGTCCCAGGTATTTTTATTTACTGAATAAGCTGTTTTATAATGTCTTTTATTTATTCCTAGGATTGTTTGGATTGTCTTTCTTTATAAATATGTTTAGTTGAATTTTGCACTTCAAGTTCCAAGGTTTTTCAAGCTGTTCAAAATGTCATTGGTATGAATATGATAATAAATATTGTACCAAATAATGGGTCAAAGTATTTTATAATGTCAGTCTTGTTATTATGTGTAATGTAAAAAAAAAAAGAAAAAAAGTTTTATTCCACTGGCAGATCATTTTATTTAACTTTCTTAATTCAAGTCATCTTAACTTGACTAGATTTTTTTTTTTTTTTTGCAGTGTATGTGTTTGAGACTCAACACTGCAAAAAAACTAAATCTGGCCAAGATAAATTTACTTTAATTAAGAAAGTTTAATCATGATTTGAATCAGTTTCACTTGACGAGTAAAATTATCTGCCAGTGGAACAAGACTTTTAGTAGTTAAAATATGAAAATACATCTTACTACACTTAAAATAAGAAAAAAATACTTTCTGCACTTAAAATATGAAAACACATCTTGTTACACTTAAAAAAACAAAAAAACAAACAAACAAAACGACAACTCTTATTGTGAGTGATTTTAATCAATTTTCCATGGTGGATGATTGAAATTGGAGCTGAAATATAAAATGAAATCTGTCCTTCTCCCCTCAAATGTTGACATGATAATCTTTCTTTAAAAAAACTGAATTAATAAGGTTAGACTAAGCTTGTTAACTGCAGCTTACCAATACTTTTGGTACTTTTCCTGTTTGCTGGGGCCTTGGTATTTTTATTTATTGACTAATGACTCGGCAGGTTTATTGTGCCTGGGTATTTTTATTTACTGAATAGGCTGTTTTATAATGTCTTTTAATTATTCCTAGGATTTCCTGGATTGTCTTTCTTTATAAATATGTTTACTTGAATTTTGCACTTCAACTTCAAAATTTAATTGATAGGAATATGATAATAAATGTTGTACCAAGTAATGGGTCAAAGTATTTTATAATGTCAGTCTTTTTATTATGTATAATATCGTAATATCATGAGCCGCACCAACATATCGTGAGATTTTTCGACGATATCGCAATAAATATCGTACCGTGAGGTTCAAACAGTGATGATATCGTATTGTGAGACTTGGATATCGTTACACCCTTAGTAGATAATTTTACTTTTCAAGCTAAATCGACTCAAATAGTAGTAAAAATCTTGTTAATTTGAGTCATTTTAATTTAGCCAGATATTGTTTTTTGAAGTGAAGAGAATGCAAACAAGAATAATTAGTTAAGAAAAAACTGGAAAAAAGACAAAAAGATGATTTGATAGGATGAAACAAGTGAACAAAACAAAACTCCAGGTACATTTTAATTTTTTTAATACGGAAAAAACATTCCAGCACTGTCAATTAAAAGCTACAAAAAGACAAGATTAGAATAATTAAAGAACCAAAACCAATCTAAAGTCCTTAATGTTAACAAAGATATTTCATTTGTTTACGTTCTCAGTAGCAAAGATAATATTTTCAGACGTCTGCTTTGTGTCTTCGTTCAAAAATGGCTCATAGGACGGACCAAAGCAATACACGGATATGATCCTCCTCCTCCTAAATAATTTCTAATCTGAGACTTCTTCAAAATAAGGTCGGTCATAATGCTCTTATATTTGTGGACTGTGTTGAGGTGGAGGTGATGTCTGGAAGGCTCACGGTTATTGGACAGAGACACACACCAACAAACACACACGGACATTTATTTCCTGGAGACTGGACCTAACCTTAACCATAGTCACTACTTGCTTATTACATTTCATCTTTTGCTTATAAACGTTCATCTTTTGCTTATAAACGTTCATCTTTTGCTTATAACGTTCATCTTTTGCTTATAAACGTTCATCTTTTGCTTATAAACTTCGTTCTTTTGCTTATAAACGTTCATTCTTTTTGCTTATAAATGTTCATCTTTTGCTTATAAACGTTCATCTTTTGCTTATAAACGTTCATCTTTTGCTTATAAACGTTCATCTTTTGCTTATAAATGTTCATCTTTTGCTTATAAACGTTCATCTTTTGCTTATAAACGTTCATCTTTTGCTTATAAACGTTCATCTTTTGCTTATAAATGTTCATTTTTTGCTTATAAATGTTCACCTTTTGCTTATAAACGTTCATCTTTTGCTTATAAATGTTCATCTTTTGCTTATAAACGTTCATTTTTTGCTTATAACATTTCATCTTTTGCTTATAAACGTTCATCTTTTGCTTATAACATTTCATCTTTTGCTTATAAACGTTCATTTTTTGCTTATAACATTTCATCTTTTGCTTATAAACGTTCATCTTTTGCTTATAAACGTTCATCTTTTGCTTATAACATTTCATCTTTTGCTTATAACATTTCATCTTTTGCTTATAAACGTTCATTTTTTGCTTATAACATTTCATCTTTTGCTTATAAATGTTCATCTTTTGCTTATAAATGTTCATCTTTTGCTTATAACATTTCATCTTTTGCTTATAAATGTTCATCTTTTGCTTATAAACGTTCATCTTTTTGCTTATAAACATTTTATCTTTGCTTATAAACGTTCATCTTTTTGCTTATAAACGTTCATCTTTTGCTTATAAACGTTCGTCTTTTGCTTATAAACGTTCATCTTTTGCTTATAACATTTCATCTTTTGCTTATAAACGTTCATCTTTTGCTTATAAACGTTCATCTTTTGCTTATAAACGTTCATCTTTTGCTTATAAACGTTCATCTTTTGCTTATAAACGTTCATCTTTTGCTTATAAATGTTCATCTTTTGCTTATAAACGTTCATCTTTTGCTTATAAACGTTCATCTTTTGCTTATAAAACGTTCATCTTTTGCTTATAAACGTTCATCTTTTGCTTATAAACGTTCATCTTTTGCTTATAAACGTTCATCTTTTGCTTATAACATTTCATCTTTTGCTTATAAATGTTCATCTTTTGCTTATAAAATGTTCATCTTTTGCTTATAACATTTCATCTTTTGCTTATAAACGTTCATCTTTTGCTTATAAACATTTCATCTTTTGCTTATAAACGTTCATCTTTTGCTTATAAACGTTCATCTTTTGCTTATAACATTTCATCTTTTGCTTATAAACGTTCATCTTTTGCTTATAACATTTCATCTTTTGCTTATAAACGTTCATCTTTTGCTTATAAACGTTCATCTTTTGCTTATAAATGTTCATCTTTTGCTTATAAACGTTCATCTTTTGCTTATAAACGTTCATCTTTTGCTTATAAACGTTCATCTTTTGCTTATAAACGTTCGTCTTTTGCTTATAAACGTTCATCTTTTGCTTATAAATGTTCATCTTTTGCTTATAAACGTTCATCTTTTGCTTATAAACGTTCATCTTTTGCTTATAAACGTTCATCTTTTGCTTATAAATGTTCATCTTTTGCTTATAAATGTTCATCTTTTGCTTATAAACGTTCATCTTTTGCTTATAAACGTTCATCTTTTTTATACTTATCTTTTGCTTATAAACGTTCATCTTTTGCTTATAAACGTTCATCTTTTGCTTATAAACGTTCATCTTTTGCTTATAAATGTTCATCTTTGCTTATAACATTTCATCTTTTGCTTATATTCATCTTTTGCTTTAACGTTCAT